TCTGGGAGTTGAAGTCCACACATCTTAAAGTGGCCAAGGTTGAGAAACACTGGTTTAGACCAATCAAGCAGTGACCTGTTTTCCTAAGGGTCCGATTGGGAAAAGATTGGGAGGTCTTAGGATCCTTTGTATTTTGTAACTTTACTCTTCCCATCTCAGGCCTGCTCTTTTTTACAGCTTTCTAAGGTAAAATTTCCCAACTGTAAAAACTGTTGGGAAAGTGAGAGGATGAGACTAAGATTAATCCACCATTCATATTTCCTCTCTAAGTCTAAGCTCTTTTTCTCTCTGAAGCTAGAAAAGGGAATCTGAAATCATATGGCTGCTGGGATACTGCAACCAGACCACAGGACTGCATCCTACAACGAATAAACTAAAACTCTCACAATGTATACTTGGCAGTATTACAAGACTCGCTATTTACATGCTGATATTATTACTTGATATACTTAACTGATCAGTGACCATTATATCCTAACATGTCAGGTATGGAAGAGAATAGTATGTAGATGACACATACAAACTCGCTACTACATATTGTAAATACAACTTACAAATCAGAATCTCATCAAAGTTTGAAAATATATTTGTGTAAGATTACCCACTCTTGATGCCAGCTCTGCCAGCCAAGTGGGAGAGTTAACATTATGGTATATACAGATGAATACATCAGACACTTATTTATCTACTGATGGAAAAAATAGTAATAGTATGAGTATATATAAAACGGAGGTCTCCTTTGATTATTACAACACTCTTATTATCACGTCATGTCTTCAAACAAGAATTTGAACCGAAGGTTAACCAATACGATAGTAAAAGACAGCCAAGCTAGGCAGAATGTGTTGTTTGAGAGACTATTTTGAGCAACATTAGGTGCCGAAAAGACCTCGTGCAGGAGACAAAACAGTACCCTAAGTTCAGTACATGAGAGACAAGAGTTAAATTAGATTAACCTGAATTAAGGCACGCAACCGAGAGCGCGGGCAATGCAAAGAGAAGCGCTGCGGTCGGTCAACCGTGGCGAAAAGATCCACACGTCTCAATCGAACTGTTTTCAGTTTACGAAAGAGAAAAGCGACGGCGCTACCATACCCAACGACGTAGAGGGAATCCCTCCAGGACAAGAGAAAGAGAAGCCACCACAAATTCACACGCGCGTCGAAAGGGAGCCTCGTCCAGCACAGACACCCCCTCCCATTCCCGCGCCAAGTCCCTCTCACCTCTTTGACGGGAGGGAATTTTTTGCGGCACTCCAGGCTCAAGGCCCGTAGGTCGCCCTGCATATTTTCCAGCAGTTTCTTCACGGCCTCAGGACTGCTAGTGCTGGCCATGGCTCCGCCGCGGGATGAGCACAGCAGCGGGGGCAACGAGAGGAGGCCCACAAGTGACCAGCCGGCCGAGCCAGCGTCAGCCGTCTTCCGAGGGGCTTCCCAAAGCCAGTAAATCCCGGAGGAAACTACTGTTGGCTCAGGAAGGCAGGTTGTCCCACTCCTCCCTCCTCCTCCTCCTCCCCCCGCAGGGGCCGGGCCGGCCGCGTCCACGTCCTCTTCAGATCCCACAATGCCAAGCGCTGCGCACGTCAACCCCGCTTCCGCACGCGGGGCCTCTGGGGAAGAGGAGGAGCGCTCCGCAGCGGTAGGGCGACTCGGGGAGCGGTCTCCACAGCGGCCCTCGGAGTCGGGTAGGCTCCGGGATCTGGCAGTACTGCGACTTTTGATTCCGCGGCGGGCGCTGTGCCAGTATCGGGGCTTAATTGGAGGCAAGACTCAATTTCGACACAAATGAAATATCCGTTGTTTTCTGGAGAGCATAAAGGGGCGCATGTAAGGGAAGCTTCAACTGTAGCACCACCTTTTGCTGCGGCTTTGGATTTAGGGGGGTTCTAAGCACTTTTTTTTCGGTTTGCTCTAACAAAGATAAGGAGAATCAAGTGGGTGGCTACGTATATCTTTTATTTATAGTTCAATAGACTTTGCTGCTGGGTAAGTACAGTACGTATAGGATTGTCAGGTAACGAATAGGGTCAGCAAACAAATGCTCTTTATTAAACTTTCAAATTAGATTTCCTTGCCTGTTTTTCAACTTTCATTTTATAAAATTGGTTCCTGCTGTTGTGGTTTTTGACCCTTCCTCATACATTTCACTTATTTCATGCAGTATAATAATATCCTTCCATCATAGCTTTAACCTTAACTTTTTTTTTTTTTTTTGCATTAAGCCACGTGCAGAAATCTAGTGGTCTATGGATGTTTTCCTTGTTTAAAATGGAAACTGTCCCAGGAGATTAATAACTGTCAGCGTTTGAAAATGCATATGCTGTACACTATCCTGCAACCTGTATTTAAAAGCAAAACAATAACTTCTTGGGAGATACCAAAAACTATTTCTTGGTTGAGTATGGGTTTAAAGATTTCATGTTCTGTTTGAGCTTGTATACTTGCTCCTCTGAGGCAGTATTTCCTATCTGAAAACGTTTATCATATTAGAGACAGAGTTGTATTTTTCTGGTAAACACACAATGTGTTAAAATCCCCTTTCTTCCTAAATGATCAGCCATAGGAATCCAGTTAAATTATCTCGTTCTGCCAACTTCTGTATGCAAACTGAAACCCAGTACAAAGCTTAAAGGGTTTTGCCAGACTACTGCTGTTTACTTTAGAGCAGATGTGGGAAAACTGTCGCTCTCCAAATGTGAATTCCTAAGTTCCATTATTTCCAGTGGTCAGGGTTGCTAGGAGCTGTGATTGGACTAGAGTCTTGAGTCTTAACTTATTAAGGTATGTCACGGGGTGGAGAAATACGCAATTGATCTTTCATATTCAACTCCAAGCATTGCTTCCATTAAAAATTAGTCAACGGTATCATGTGATATAGATGACTTTAGTAAAATGACAGAGATGAACTATCTTAATACAGCAGTGTGGTAAAACAGGCATATGATTAACCTTATGTTTATGCACATGATTGATTAAAGTGTCTATGTTTAGCACAGCTGTTTACATGCTTAAAAGTATTAGCCTCTGAAATATTTTAATTATCATATCCTGTCATGTAGCCTGTAATTGCATCTTGCATTATGTTGTAAGAATGCATACAGCTATTCAAGAGGCTAAAGGCAATACTGATGCTGGTGGGAACATTTTATATAGGTTGAGTAATAGTTCTTGATTTTGTTCCATATATGAGTGCTGCTTTGTTAAATAAATCATGAGACTTCATGATACTACTTTAGTTGCTTTAGTTATTGAAGATGTACATATGTACATCATGCTATTCCCTTTTGGGGTAAGTGGTGTTTTGCAAAGTGCAAGAAAAAGAATAAGGAATAGTAAGCTAAAGAAAGGCGTACGTTATGAAAACAAAACATAGCTAAAGCTAGTTTACAGGAACAGTGTTTACTATACCTCTCTCCAACTTTCTTGGGCTTCCCCTTCCTCTTAACCCTTTTACTTTTTCTTCGTATACAGATAGTCCTCACTTACCAACTGCCTTGTTCAGCAACTGTTCAAGGTTATGATGGTGCTGAAAAATAAGTTTACGACCAATGCCTGCATTTACAACTTTCATAGTGTCCCTCAAGTCACATGATCACCATTACAGTCAGTATGCATTGTCCTGTGCCTGACCTGTTGTTTTTCTTCCCACCACCTTGCCGAGTGGAGAGATTGGTGAGGAAGGGATTACAAGAGAGTAAGCAGGCATACAATGGGGAATACACATCAAAAGCAATGTGCTATGCAAACAGCTCAGTGTATTCCCCATTGTGTGCCTGCTTACTCTCTTGTAATCCCCTCCTCTCCGATGAATGTAAATACAAACATTCATTCACTTATTATGCCAGTACTGAGGTAAGCATTCCAACCGGTGGAGGAGTGGTTAGGAGGCAAACAAAAGCAGTAGGTGTGAAACTGATTAGCCTTGTCAGTTTCCAGCCCTCCATTCCAGTACCACCAGGGTGAGCATTGAAAAGGGTAGGGGAGTGGGGAAGTCCTCATTCATTCTCTCTAGTGAACTCAAAATATTTATTTTGGTCTGATCACTCACTTTTGTGTTCAGTCAACATTGATTCAGCACACATTCATTCTTGCTGCTGTCTTCTTTGTTTTATATTTCTACATACTTTTTTTAAGTTAAAACATCCAAGGGCACATCTTTATTTTACTATCTGCTCAATATTGAATCATTTGCTTAATATTTCATTTATTCTCCTATGTTTACTATATATTGCTCTTACAGGTAGTCCTTGCCTAACCACCATTAGTTTAATGATGGTTCAAAGTTATGATGGCCTTGAAGAAAGGGCTTTACAACCTGTACTTGCACTTATGACCGTCGCAAACCGTCGCACCACCTCCTGCAGTCATGTGATCATGATTTGCAATCTTTTTACGACAGTTGTTAAGCGAATCACCATGGTTGTTAAGCAAATTCCAGCAAAAAATCCATTGGAGAAGCTGGATTCACTTAACGACCATGTCATTTGCTTAATGACACAGTGACTCACTTAATGACCATTGTAAAAATGGTTGTAAAATTGGGTCCGGTCACATGGTGACTCACGTAACGACTGCCCTGGTTAATGACCAATTTCCTGGTCCCTATTGTGGTTGTTAAGTGTGGACTACCTGTACCACATTCAGTAATAAACTTTTGAGCAAAAATTCCATAATTGAAATCTGTTCACTTTATCATACAATTTGTCTAAATCACATAGAGAACAATAAACGTCCTTTCTCACATTCATGTATTTCTCAGTGAGCTGCTGAAGAGCAAACATTTGGTCTCTGTACTCTCTGTGTGCGAGAAAGCTTCATTCTATTTCCCAGATTTTGCTCATTGTCACCTCTTGCCCTTTCAGTTAGAATTCTGCCAAGCACCTTCCCAGGTACACTTAACAAATTAATCCCACTATAGTTTTTGCTTTCTTTCCCTTTGTGTGAGGGAACATATTGGCATTCCTCCAGCTGTGAAGCACAGTGCAGTTTGCACCCATATTGAACAAGATTTCCATCAAAGTACTTCTGCATTTCTCTCTTTTAATCTTAACTATTCTTTGCAGCTACCTTTTTTCCTCCATCCACATTATAGATTAACTTTCTCTCATCCTTACTTTTGTAGCAATAATTCTCTTGCATGTGTTTTTTTTTCTCACCCACTCTCTTTTATTTTATATTAAGCATCCTTTTTCATACTTTCCATTATCATAATTCCACACACTTCTGGGCTCTTTATAACATAATTTTCATTCTGTTCCAAGCAGCTTCCACATCCTCTTTTCTTAAGTCCACTTTCATTTATTCTATTCAGATATTTACTATTTTTTTTTTAATACAGGACTCATAATTTCTCTTCCTCCTGTCATTCTATTTTCACCCTTGCTTATTTCACTTCTTTCCTTTCCTTCCATATTGTTTCTAAGATCCACTCTTGATAGTACCAAAAAAATGGTGTGTCTCACATTCAGAGCCTCCCATCACCTTTATATTCTTCACCAGTTCAGTTTTTCATCATAAACAGTCAAATCAAGTACATTTTTCTTAGATTTAGATTTTAGATTCCTTTGCCATGTGTATGCATAAATAGACATGTGATTAAATCATTTATTCAAAAATATCTTTTTCTAAGCAGATACTAACAAAACAGTTATTACTCTTATTTGTTCTTGGGTTTCTGAATGGCCCAGTGACTTTTTCAATACTCATTTCATTCCAGTTTATTTGTGTCCCCTAGCACTTCCCCCCCCCCCCTTGGATGACATTCATTTAGGATTTTACACAGCCCTTTTTACAAAACTCGTCTCTACTTCTTTCATTATCCACCATTCACTGGAGGATGACAATTAACAATTTAGCCCTTTCGTTCATCATTAAACATACCCCAGAACTTCCCAGGATGTATTCATTAGCTCCATTTCCCCAAATCAGATCCTAACTCAGATAAAGCTACAGAAATCCTTCATATTTATTAAGTATCATTCAAAGTCAAGCTTGATTTCAAAGAGACTTTTACTTCAAAGAGGCAAGCAATGCACTGAAAATAAAATAAAAACATCTAACAAATATGAAGTGCAGCCATATTTCTTACTCATATTTTCCTTACTATTTAAAATAAGCACTGTAATTTACATATAAGATCATGCTGTTCTTGTAAGCATCCCAGTGATTCATCTTTGTACATTTCCAAACTGAATGCATGCTTCCTTGAAATATGACTAAAGCTAGATCACAATTCCAGATCTGTTACGTAATTCATGGATATAGTTATATTAATATTTAAATTACTGTTACATAATACTTAATATTACAGATAACTTATGATTGGTATTTCATTTTTTCCATTTCTAGTTTACCAAACGTCAACAGTAACTTTTTAATTATAGCTTCTATATTGTAATATATATATCTGTGTGGTCGCTAGGAGTAAAAAATGACTTGATGACATATAATTAATCAATCAATCTGTATTGTAAAGCTTTATTTTACTGAAAATGGATTGAAACTATTATTTTCTTCCATTACATACTGAACATAATGCTATCTTAA